CAGGTCAGTGAAGGTTTTAAATCCCTTATAATTGGTCTAATTGGGTGTCCATCCATTCATGCAGCCATAGCTATTTGGCTTCTAATTCATGTGTGAAGCAGCATCATTAACACTACTGGACAGCAAACTGTCCTGTGTTAGCTAGTGGTGGTGCCAGGCTCTTGACTCATGACTGTGTCCAACCCCTCTTCTGTCAGCATGGAAGCCAGTTTGAGCCTACTAAAACAGTTCATCTTGGCCAGACTTCTGTCCGCAACAACAACAATGTTTGAATGTCTTCCATGAAACCAGTGCTCAAGCAATTTTAGTAATTCACATAAAATTAGTATTTCATTCACTGCAGAAGTTCATTGTGCTCCAGTCTTAGTGCATGTCCTGTTACACACCGAGAGAGTTGTCCAAGTGGGTGATCATAAACTGTCACCAGCTTTCTCAAGCAAAGCCTCCCTCCCTCCCAGAAAAAAAAAAGTCACTAAGGATTTCTCTGTCCCTATTTTGACCAAACAAACTCGTTTTTATTAAAGCCACCATGAACTGCAGCTCCTAACTTCAGTCATCCCTGCACAAAGCAGCATTTTGAGGTGATAAGAGCAATGGCAGATCAGGATACCACTACCACCTGTACTTATGTTTAATGAGTCTGCTAATGCCCACTCTGTATTCTTTTTCATAAACTCTTCCTGCACAAGACCACAGTGGGAAAAATCTGAAATCTCCTGGGGTAGGGAAAAAAAGCTAAATTATTTATCATCTATTCAGAATAAAATTGAAATGGAATAGAATAAAGTGGGCCTGTCTTGGGTCATGCAATGTAGCTTGCAAGTTTAAACTTGCACAGGAAGAAGAAACGAAACATTGAGATGGTGGTCAGGGAGAAGGAAAAGCTAGAAAAGGGCAGGTGAATCAAGAGGGCAAAGACTGAAAGGATCTGTGATGGCCTTTATATCCATATGGTATTTAAAACAAGACAGGGTTGCAGGAGCAGGAGTTCTTCAGACTGCAGAGAAGACCTGTGAAGCACCACCATTAGCTTGTAGTCAGAATAAACCATGTCTCTCACTACATTCCTGGTGGAACAGAGAACAAAGAATGGGAGTCTGCAGATGCATCTGTGAATCAGTTTCTATTTCACTTCTTACTTCTGTAAGCTGCCCTTGATAATTTTTTTTTTAATTTTTGAGGTAATTTTTTAATTAATTTTTTAATTCATCTCTTGATAGAAATCCCATCTAAGGCTTATCTTAAAATGTTAGTAACATGTAACCAACAAAGGAATCAGTGTATAATAGCACTCTGTTCTGATGGTTCATTCTGCTGTTTCAAGCTTTAGTATTATTACCCCCAAAACTAGAGGAGAAAAATCATACAGAAAAGATATTTCTTGCCTGAGACATGGCAAGAAATCCGTATCTCCAGATGGAGGCAGCATTAACTTGCACTGCAGCTCTGTGGGCACTGCCTGCCCAGCAAACATATGAGCTGCAAGACCTGTTTTCTCAGAGGGCTGTTCCACAAACATCTCCGCTGCTTTACAAAGTAGCAAATACATCTACAAGCATTGCTAGGTGGACAGTTATCATATGCCTTGCATTAAAAGCCTCCTGGAGGAACACTCCATCCCTGCTTTGCACCTATTGAGTCTGTCACTGACACCACCCCTTACAGCTTTGTGACCGAGGGGAGTGGTGGATCCTTAGGCTTGGAAAGAACCCCTGAGGGCCCGGAAAAGCCTCCCTCCCCCTTGTGTCTCTACTCTGAGAAGTCTGGAGTTTAATGCATTCAGGTGCCAGGGATTATGCCTGGCCTACTTTCATTCCGGCACTTTCCAAGTGGCTGTGACAGCTTCCGTGGGTTTGTGTTGCCAAGGTGGTGAAGCCATTCTCAGCCACTGTACTTGGGAGCTCAGCAGTGGGTGGTGGGTGCCAGTGGCAGCTCTGGTGATCCAGGGAGCACAGCTGCTCATTCCTATCTGTGATCTCTGCTGCATTCCCTGTCCTGCATCCCTACAAGCTACGTCTCCTGTGGGTAGCGAGGCGTGCTACACCACAGCAGTCTCCTGCAGCCTTGGTGCGCTCCCCCAGCCAAGCCCTGAGTTGGTTCACCGGGGACTGCAGTGCCAAATATACACAAGGGATACTGAGCAAACCCTGCCTTTCCCTAAAGCTTTGTGGTTGTGCTGCATAACCTTAGAGTGCTTTCCCCTGGCATATGGAATGGGTGTGTGGGGTAGCCATGGTGAAGGTGTTGCTGCTCCCATCATGTTTCACAGGGAATTCCAGAAGCAGGGCTTCATTTTCTTTTGCCATGTGCAATTTCCAGGGAGCATGGAGGAGGAGCTCATTGTCTTGAGGGTCAGATACTAAACACTGCTTTTAGGCACACAGGTTGGATACTGCCTTGCCTAAAATGCAGGTGCTGCACCCCAAAGATTATGATGCTTGTTATCCTGCCTAGGCACCTCATCTCCCTGCTGTACAGTTGGGCACTTCTGCAGGCTGAGACCTGAAGAGCTGTCCTGAGGTGGGTGATTGGAAACGTGCTTTCTGGAGATGGGGTGTTATGACCCATCCCAGAAGGCAAGGGTAACCCAGGTTCTTGTTAATAGATCCTGTGAGGCAGATTAGAGTGAAATGGCACTGAATGATTGGTGTTTGCACAGGTATATATTTTTTTAGGGTTTATTTTAGAACAATTTGGTTGCAATGGAAGGCAGGTATGTAGCCATTTTAGTTGCTATTATTACTGTAGTAATACAGCAATAGGAAAGCATAAAAATATCACTTAAGAAAATGTACAAGGGAAGGAAGGAAGGAAGAGTAGAAACATATCGCCACCTGTGGATCTCGCGACAAGAGTTGATTGTTGCAGTTTTGATGTCCATTGGTTGATGTGATGGTCAGTCTTGATCTGTCTGGGTTGGGGAAAAAGCCCACAAAACACAAAGTCTGAGGGGTTAATATAATGCTTGCTGGGAACACCCAGGTACCTTCCCTGAAGGGGTTGTTTCAGTTCTCTGTTGGAAGGCCTCAGAAATGAGTCTGGGTGCGCTTTGGGGTCTCTGATGGTGTATGACCCCTTCTAAGACATGACAGCTGCCTCGCACATCAGTGAGGTTGAGCCAGTTGATGTCCCACCAGACCTTCCCCAGGGGGAGGGAGGGGAGTTTTACAACAGTGAATTTCATGAGGGAGGACAATTTGCATGATTAAAAGCACCATCCCACCTCAAAGGATCTGCCTCTTACCTGCCTCAAAAGCTTGTAGTCTCCAGTGGTGGGTGTTAACCCCCTCTGTCTTATGTGGATCACCACCACACACCCAAAAACTCTCCTTCCACTTGGCTGAGGGAGAAGCATGTGCAAACCCTGCCTCGGCAAATGAGATTCTGGGCTATGGCCTCCCCCAGCATTGTGTACCTCTCCTTAGACCTGAGATAACTGGACAGTAGTATCACAGCTACCTTATCTCAAGTTTCTGTCAAGTGGCTTAACCCACAGTTCCAGTTCCACTTGGGAGGCATATTCACGGGGTGGTCTTGGTGGTTGAAGATGAGCAGTTGCTTTTTAGCACAGTTTGATATAGTGGGCAAAGTCCTTTGGTGATCTAAACAACGTTTGAGCCATTAATCATTTCAGCCTCTCACAAGGGGCAGGATGCCTCAGCTGCTCCTGCTGCTCTGGGCTGTAAATGCCTGACACAGAGCCATATACTAGGTGGCTCCACACGTGCAGGGTGTGTAGCACTGTCTTCCCACACTCCTGGGGGGAGCTAGAAAGCTGTTCTGCACCTCCCACTGCCACCTGCTTCCAGGAGCTGAGACAGAAACCGTGAGATAGATAGCAAAAGAGCAGTACAAGTGAAACACTTGACTCAGACGCTGAGGGCAGATGCTGGACAGGGCAAAGCTGGGGCAGAGCGGTGTTGTGAGGCCTCTGGACAGCTCCTGGTCCTGCTCTGCTGTGTAACTGTAGTTGTGACCTTCACACATATGTGAGCGTACATACAGTTTTAATTAATTTGTTTTATACAGGCAGTGGTTGTTCAGAAAGTCTTCCAACCATGTCCAAAAGCATACAGCAGAGAGCTAAGAAATGCATGTATAACAAAAAAACCCACCAAAGTCCCAGCTTGGGATGGCTGGCAGCTGGGCCTCCACCAGGCTCAGGCACTCAGCTGACTTGGCTTCCTCTGCTTCTTTTTCCCTGAGTGAGGACTAGCATAGCCATGTGGCAAGGGAGGCAAGTTCAGAGGATGCAGCTCCAAGGCTGCTGTAACTAATGCAGTCCCACTCATCCAGGTGCAGCTCTGCTGCACACTGGTTGGTCTGGAATGGGGTGGCTGTCTGTTAGGGACCACCAAACCATCAGGAGCCTCAATAATGACAGCAGTTGTGGTATTAATTGAGGCTCACTAGGGCTTTCCTGGCCTGTGGTGTACCCATACCATGTAGGGGGAGCATGGGACTTCTCTCTGTGGCTGCAGCGGTTTTGCTGTACATGTTTGCAGCCCCAAGACTTCAGCGCTCTCCTTGATGCCTCCCCACTCGGTTGTCCGTGGGCTGGGATGACTTGTCCTGGGTGCAGGATTTTTTTTGGTTTATTTTCTAACCATTACAAATACTTTTGTTTAGTAGAATGTAAGTGTCAGAGGAATACTTCTAGCTTTCATTTCCCAAACCACTGTAGTGAGCCCAACATGAAAAGCATACAGGAACAGGCAGTGCTCATCTGTTGCTTTGAGTCTTCAGGTCATGTAAGGTTCTGCACCAGAGAGTGATTTTCATGTGGTTGGAGGAGTTTTTGGCTTCTACTGGAGGTGAGACTGTAACCTGATGAAGTGAGTCATCAGCAAGTCCACAGATTCCACTGGCATCGTGGCAGGAAACAAAAGCAGCTTCTTCCCCTCAGCAGCATGTTCTCTGGCTCCTCTGCAAAGCTGGTGTGTGCCGACCTGTACTATCCCTGCCTCCCTAAATCTCTTGTCATCCTTTCCTCCCCGCAGGTGAGAGACCATTCCCCTGCACATGGCCCGACTGCCTTAAGAAGTTCTCCCGCTCCGATGAGCTCACCCGGCACTACCGAACCCACACTGGCGAGAAGCAGTTTCGGTGCCCCCTCTGCGAAAAGCGGTTCATGCGCAGTGACCACCTGACCAAGCACGCCCGCCGCCACACCGAGTTCCACCCCAGCATGATCAAGCGATCCAAGAAGTCCAGCTCCAGCAGCTCCTTGTGAAGGCAGGGCTGGCCCTGGGAGGGGAGAGGGGGAGAGGCAGGCTGGGGAGGGGATGCAGGCAGTGGTGCCAGAGCACAAGCATCCGCTATGGTGCCGGTCACCTTCACTGTCCAAAAGCACATGTAGCCGACATTAAAAAAACAAAAGTACTCAGCACCTCCCTCCCTGTCCTCCACCTCCCCTGCTCTGCTCTGAGAACAACAGTCTGGAGCAAGCGGACTGCAAGGTGAGAAGAGGGAAGGGGCAGCCAGCAGAGGAGGTGACCACCTCCTCAAACATAAAGCATTGATACTGGTGTACATACATATGACTGGGTGGTCTGGCCTGTGCCACCACAGTAGCGTGACCCCAAAGTCTTTGTGATTGCTGTGTCATGAACATGTTTTGTTGAACAGTGTAATGCTGCTTGTATTTAGAGTTTGTCGAGTAAAAACACTTTCCGAGTCACATAAATAACTCTCAGATAAAAACTCCATAGCACATTGTAGAAGTGGGTTTACTTCTGTGTCAGAGTGATCCTGCACTTAAAGATACTGTTAAGAGAACATTACATATGTTACTAATAGCATCTGATTGATATACTGAGATAAGGTGATTTTATACTCAAGAAGGCCCATCAAATAAATGGGTCTTTTTAATTTTTCTTTGCATTACCTATACTTTTGAATATAAGCTGGACTTTTCCAGTAAAAACATGTATAATCGAAGAAGATACTTAAAGCAAAAAAAAAACCCACAACAGCTCAGTCATTTTCTGACCATATGTGTATTTAGCTCTGTTATTCACTTATCTGGAAAAATACAAGTCTGCTTAGATAGCGTGGTGGGCATGTGGGAGCTGAGCATATGTCTCTCATGTGATCCTGTACTTTACTTGTCAATAATACAGTACTGTACTGTAGAAATGCCACTAACAGTGCTTTATTCTGCTGTGTTTTGTTTGAATGGGTGCATAATAGCAGCTACCATCTTTACAAACTGCTGCTTTTTTAAAGGCTTTTTCTCTTCCTACACTTGCCTTAAAGATTTATTCTCTTCATACCGTGGCCTAACTCCCTTTGAGCCCTCTGGGAGTTGTGTGTGCTTATGGAGAGAGTAGATCTTTCCTTAAGAGTACTCTGCTAATGGAAACACCTGAAACTATTGTAAGGAGCACTTCGGAAGGGCTCCTTTGTCTCTTGATTGCTAATTCTCTAGAGTATGGGGGAAAACCAAGAGCTAATTTGAAATATGGAAGGTGTGTTGCAATAATCCTTACGACACAAGCTTCTCTTGGTACCTTGCTTTGTACGTGTTTCATGCATGGCACGTCAAATGCTGATAAAGGCAATATTACTTTTATTTGAAAGCTGTTTTTTGCTCTTTAAAAGGAGCAAAAAGATCACTAAATGAAAACTCTCGGTCATGGTGATTAGCTGAAAATGTCAAATTTTTTATGTTAAAAGCATGAAATTTAAGGGGTTATCAGTGATATGTTTTTTTCCTCCCCAGCTGCATAAAGACGGGAGAATTCTGTTTACACATTATTTTTTTCCAGAAACATTCTTCTGTTTGGTTTTTTACCCCTACTACAGAGACTTAGGGCCAAATTCATCTTCTGAGTAATCACACTGAAACCCAAAGTGTTTCCACTGCAGATGAATTTAGGTCACCTTGTAAAATCCTGTACATAAAAAGTCTTGTTAGTACACCTGCAATTACAGTATCTTATTGTTTTATCTGATAAAAAGCTTGCTTCCTAGAAAAAAAAACATAAAAAATTAACTCGGAGATTAGAGTGTTTTCCTCTACAGTTGTATATGGCTTTCAGCATTAGAAATCAGTTTGCATACTGTGTTTTTACCTGTGTAGTTCGTGATAAATTCTGTCTATATGAAGAGAACTGCTTTTAAAGCATTGGGGATATTGAACAGTCTGTGGAATAAAAAGGGATGTGTTTTCTTCAGTGAAGACATCAGGAAACCAAGCACACTTTCTACCTCCGTTTCACCTTTTTGAAACATTTGTTTTAGAAACCAAACTTTAATTTCTCGTATTCAAATTGAGTCATAGGGACATAGGTTCTTCACAATAAAAACTGGTAGCACTAGTATTTCTATTGATCTAGAAATACAGAAAGTGTTCTGCTTACCAGTACTGTTCATGCTGCCTTGAGTGGGGTCAGAGCCACAAGTAGCCTGGTGAAATTCAAAGGTGCATGCACGTTCATCTTCCTTCTTCTTTCTGAAGATCAAGCAAGATTTCCAGTCCGTCCTGCAGTCTGGATTATTGCCATTTTGTGGGACAAATGCAGCACTTGGAAAATTTAAGCCTGATCCTGTGAAATACAAGAGAATCTCACGTTCTGTCAACCACAATGGGAAGCCACTGATAAGCAGCTGATAAGCAGCTCCTAAATCAGTACGTAGATGTTTTGGTCACTTAGCTACCGCGTTTAACCAATACATGGAAGTAAAGGGCCAGATTTACAGCTCTGCTCTGAGAACAACAGTCTGGAGCAAGCGGACTGCAAGGTGAGAAGAGGGAAGGGGCAGCCAGCAGAGGAGGTGACCACCTCCTCAAACATAAAGCATTGATACTGGTGTACATACATATGACTGGGTGGTCTGGCCTGTGCCACCACAGTAGCGTGACCCCAAAGTCTTTGTGATTGCTGTGTCATGAACATGTTTTGTTGAACAGTGTAATGCTGCTTGTATTTAGAGTTTGTCGAGTAAAAACACTTTCCGAGTCACATAAATAACTCTCAGATAAAAACTCCATAGCACATTGTAGAAGTGGGTTTACTTCTGTGTCAGAGTGATCCTGCACTTAAAGATACTGTTAAGAGAACATTACATATGTTACTAATAGCATCTGATTGATATACTGAGATAAGGTGATTTTATACTCAAGAAGGCCCATCAAATAAATGGGTCTTTTTAATTTTTCTTTGCATTACCTATACTTTTGAATATAAGCTGGACTTTTCCAGTAAAAACATGTATAATCGAAGAAGATACTTAAAGCAAAAAAAACCCACAACAGCTCAGTCATTTTCTGACCATATGTGTATTTAGCTCTGTTATTCACTTATCTGGAAAAATACAAGTCTGCTTAGATAGCGTGGTGGGCATGTGGGAGCTGAGCATATGTCTCTCATGTGATCCTGTACTTTACTTGTCAATAATACAGTACTGTACTGTAGAAATGCCACTAACAGTGCTTTATTCTGCTGTGTTTTGTTTGAATGGGTGCATAATAGCAGCTACCATCTTTACAAACTGCTGCTTTTTTAAAGGCTTTTTCTCTTCCTACACTTGCCTTAAAGATTTATTCTCTTCATACCGTGGCCTAACTCCCTTTGAGCCCTCTGGGAGTTGTGTGTGCTTATGGAGAGAGTAGATCTTTCCTTAAGAGTACTCTGCTAATGGAAACACCTGAAACTATTGTAAGGAGCACTTCGGAAGGGCTCCTTTGTCTCTTGATTGCTAATTCTCTAGAGTATGGGGAAAACCAAGAGCTAATTTGAAATATGGAAGGTGTGTTGCAATAATCCTTACGACACAAGCTTCTCTTGGTACCTTGCTTTGTACGTGTTTCATGCATGGCACGTCAAATGCTGATAAAGGCAATATTACTTTTATTTGAAAGCTGTTTTTTGCTCTTTAAAAGGAGCAAAAAGATCACTAAATGAAAACTCTCGGTCATGGTGATTAGCTGAAAATGTCAAATTTTTTATGTTAAAAGCATGAAATTTATAGGGGTTATCAGTGATATGTTTTTTTCCTCCCCAGCTGCATAAAGACGGAGAATTCTGTTTACACATTATTTTTTTCCAGAAACATTCTTCTGTTTGGTTTTTTACCCCTACTACAGAGACTTAGGGCCAAATTCATCTTCTGAGTAATCACACTGAAACCCAAAGTGTTTCCACTGCAGATGAATTTAGGTCACCTTGTAAAATCCTGTACATAAAAAGTCTTGTTAGTACACCTGCAATTACAGTATCTTATTGTTTTATCTGATAAAAAGCTTGCTTCCTAGAAAAAAAAACATAAAAAATTAACTCGGAGATTAGAGTGTTTTCCTCTACAGTTGTATATGGCTTTCAGCATTAGAAATCAGTTTGCATACTGTGTTTTTACCTGTGTAGTTCGTGATAAATTCTGTCTATATGAAGAGAACTGCTTTTAAAGCATTGGGGATATTGAACAGTCTGTGGAATAAAAAGGGATGTGTTTTCTTCAGTGAAGACATCAGGAAACCAAGCACACTTTCTACCTCCGTTTCACCTTTTTGAAACATTTGTTTTAGAAACCAAACTTTAATTTCTCGTATTCAAATTGAGTCATAGGGACATAGGTTCTTCACAATAAAAACTGGTAGCACTAGTATTTCTATTGATCTAGAAATACAGAAAGTGTTCTGCTTACCAGTACTGTTCATGCTGCCTTGAGTGGGGTCAGAGCCACAAGTAGCCTGGTGAAATTCAAAGGTGCATGCACGTTCATCTTCCTTCTTCTTTCTGAAGATCAAGCAAGATTTCCAGTCCGTCCTGCAGTCTGGATTATTGCCATTTTGTGGGACAAATGCAGCACTTGGAAAATTTAAGCCTGATCCTGTGAAATACAAGAGAATCTCACGTTCTGTCAACCACAATGGGAAGCCACTGATAAGCAGCTGATAAGCAGCTCCTAAATCAGTACGTAGATGTTTTGGTCACTTAGCTACCGCGTTTAACCAATACATGGAAGTAAAGGGCCAGATTTACAGTTTCCACCTTGCTTTTTTGGGGTAGAATGCACATTTAAAGAAATATTGTTGTTCCTGCAAAGTCTGAAAGAATGAACAGGAGGGAAATACTTCAGTCCGTGGGACAATGGGACATATGAGGTATGTGTCACCACTGCCGGTGACAAGATCCTGTTTCTGAAAAAATTGTAATGTATCCTGTATTTCAGCATTGGGCAGACAGGATTAATGTGATTCGTTAACCACTAACACAATATGCTGGGAATAATCAGATTTGGGGATTTCATATTAATGTTTTGTTAATTTGGTTTGGTTTTTTTTTCTTTTTTTTTTTTTTTTTTTTTTTTGTAAAAGCAAATAATGTCTTTAACACATAAAATAAACTGCAGGTTAGTTCTTTGCATCTTGAAGTTAAGTTTTGAAGAGTGTTGCAAATGTTGGTAAAGAAATGAAAAATCAGGTTCTCTAATACCGTATGTACTTGTTGTACTATTTTGGAAGTACTTAATAGTGCTGAAGTTAGGACAGCTCCTCTCCTTGGTTAAGAAAGTCCATTAGTATAGAGAAGTCATGGCTTTAAAGGTATAGCTATGTAACATTCTTCTTTTTGAACAGTTTTTCATTACCTGTATTACAGATCTGTTTTCAGCTTACAGAAGGACTTAGCCCAGACTGGACACATACTTCAAAGTGCTGTTTTACAAACTAGTGATCTGTAACACTGTAAAATACCATCTTCCAACAGTTTAATCAGTTTTATTTTTGTACAGTATTCGTATTCTTTATAAGTTATTTTGCTGTCCTGTTTTGTAAATCATATGAAATTGTAAAAAAAAGGAAAAGAAAAAAAAAGTAGGCATAGATGTTTTTGTACATATGTATATATATATTGTCCAAATAAAGAAAAAAGAGTAAAAAAACTCAACTTTGTCTTGAATGATTGGAGTCAAGCAGTGGTCATTGCCTTGTAATCAGTGATTACAAAAAAAATCCTGCTGCACATGATGAAATCCATGGCTTGAGTACTGTATGAACCAGCTTTGAAGGTTTTAGTGTTGCTAGTCATTATTTGGCTTGGGTCTTGTTTCTCTGCTTTTCCCAGGTGTTTTCCCAGGTATTCCTCCTGCCAGTACAGCAGGGAGATGGAGACACAACTTGTAGTGGGGGCAAAGTGTCTCATCACCTGCATGCCCCAGCTCCTAAGACATCTGTCTCCCCCTGCTCCATGGTTTTTGAGCTCAGACTGGTGCTCTCCCTCACACAGCTGCTCCTTGAACTAATGACGCTTCAGCCTGTGCAGCCACACTGCTGCCTTGAGCTTTCCATGGTGTTGGGAGGGTTGCTGGTGTATGGATTAAAAAGCATTTGCTTAGCCTCTGAAGGAGAAAAGAGCAAGGAACCCTGTGCCAAAAAGCTCACTGACATTTACAGTCACTGACATTGTAGTTCCTAAAAGCAACTACTTAGATGAACTAACTTAACCTGGTGCATGGGAACAGTGCTAGGGTATGGCTGCAGGATAAGCCCTGGACCCAAGGGAACATGTAACCTTCCAGCAATGCGGGCAGAGACGGTCAAGTGGAAGCACATCATCTGCATCTGGAACTAAACTTTTAAGTAGCCTCCAGATTTGACTTGATGATGGAGTTTCCTCTTCTTGGGTTAGATGGCCAAAGGATAGATAAACTAGCATAAGGTTTTCTTCTTTTAGCTTGTCACTGATTTTAGGAATAAGGGACATTGTGGCATTGGCATTGGCCTCATTCCCTTGCAAACCCATCATTAAAGACTTTCCACAAATTTACCATTCTTCACCTTGAACCCCTGGTATTTGTCTTTAGTGGTGTAATTGGAAGAGCTGCCACAATCTTTCTAGTGCAGAGAAGGCCTTAGCCTTAGGAGGATGTACGACTGAGATCTCATACACTCTAAGAGTAGTCTTGCCAGGAACGGTGTAAATTTTGACTTGACTTTGTACATCATGTGAAGGCTTGGGTACACCACAGTGGTGCTGGCAGACTCGACAGTGGTACGGGGAAGAGTGACCGTGAACACAGACCAGCTGACTCTGAGAGCACATCTACAAGGTTGTGAGGGTCTCTTGCATTTTCCTTTTTCCTCTCTGCCAAGAACAGAATAAGGGAAATGTGCCATAAAATGTCTTAAAAGTCTGGTTCAATGCTTGCAGAGTGGTTCAGAAAGCTGCATACAAGGAAGGGTGGCTTTCTGAATCTGCCTGCTGGTTGACATGACTGACTTTGATCTCCACAGGAGTCCAGAACAATGTTGTTCAGTACTCCCTCTTCTAGGGCTAAGGAGTCAGTGAGGTTTCCTTTCTGCAGGCTTTCTCAATGGCTTTCTCAAAAGGTTTCTCAATGGCTTTTGCTTTGGAAACAATCTGTTCCAGGTTGAGCTCCTTGCACTTCCCAGCCACATCTGACAAATTTCATCAGCAGTAATTTAATGTGAACTCACAATTGCCAGCCAACTGTACTTACCCAACTACTCTTTAAGGGACTGCCTTAAAGCGGGGGAAGCTTTCCCAATGGCAAGAATTTTGCAGGTACCATGTTTTCAGTGTTGTGCTCTCCTCAACCAGGAAACTCCCTGACCTCTAAAACACCTCCTCAAACACTTCCACAAGTATTGTGGAAATCTTCCCATTTCAAAAAGAGAAGGTCTTGACTGCCATCAGTTCCAATCCTTAACAGATGCTTCTTTCTGTATTT